GCATCACCGTGACAAGGTGAGGGGCTGAGCTGCAGGGCAGGAGAGCCCCAGGCCTCTGGGCTGTCTCAAAACGGATGCCTTGGCGGAAACCTTCACCCGGCGATCTGTGTGTGCCGAACCCTTGATGTAATAAAAGTTGTCTAACGGTGGTTGGCTCCTTGAGTGGATTTCCTTGCTCCAGCTGGTGGACTTTGAACATGTGTTGCTTTCTTTTCAATATACTGATGATCTTTTCTTTGTTTCATAGCATTGAACAGATGGGTTGATTATTCTTTTCAGATATTAATAAAGCAGCGGAAAGAAGAAATATGAATAAGCCTCCCTCAAGGTCCAGCCCAGCGCGAAGGTAAAGTACTCTGAAGCAACCAGTTCCCTAGCTCAGCGGTGCTGCGTCCTGTGCCCCGGGTGGAGCTTCCTCTGAGGGGAATCCGGTGGGGATTCCCGTTCCTTGCGAGCCTCCTGGGTGCCTCCTGAGCTCATCACAGGCGGGGGAGGAGAGTCTGGCTGTCGATTGGACTCCGGGGCGTCCCAAGAGAGCGCCTCGGGGTGGGCTCCACCACGGAGGATGGGCAGCAACGGGGGTTGCGTCGAGGGCAGAGACCTCGGGGGAGCAGCTCCCCTTATGGAGGCACGCCTTTTTTTGCAGCCATATCGCCCCGAAGATGGACGCGAGATCTCCTTTGATAGAGGATTCTTCGGTCCTCTCTTGGCACTCCATCAGCGTTGTGCCCATCATGCGTGGGTGCTTTTGTTGGCATTAGCACAAGCCTCTTACCTGACGACCGTTTCTACCAGGGCAGGAGCTGGGGCGTACCGGGGGACCCTCGGTCAAAGCGCAAGCAGGTGCCCAAGCATTACTCTTGATGCTGGTGGCTAGCGCGCAAGCGGATGCCTGAGCATTGCACTGTCTAATGCTGTGGGCAGCGCGCATGCGGGCTCCCGGGCATTGCCTTGCCCCTGGTGCTGGGGGCTAGAGTGCAAGTGGGCAGAAAGCGACAGTGGTCGCTGGGACATCTGGCTGGAGTTCTTCCAGAGCCCCTGTGGCGTGCCTACGTCTGCCAAGGGCAGCATCATGACCCCTCATCAGCCCAGCTTCTCTTCACAATCCTAGCTGCTGTCCTGTCCCCAGTTTGCCTAGCTCCTCTTTGGGCAGGCTTTCTGGTTCTCTGGCTGTTCTTGTATCCCCCTTGAAATAGACTGTTCATTTGGACTTTGTGAAATCAATTTAAGGCTCTACTTACGCGAAGTCAAAGAATCTGTAAATATGTTCTGATCGATGCTAAACCTTTGGTGAGGGAGATCTACATATTAAAGTACAGTTATTCCACATCTCCTGAATTCGGCAGAGCAGAGAACCCTTCCAGGAGTCCAGTGCTGCGGATACCTTGGTGTGCACTTCTGTGGGGGGCAGGTCAGGGGTTGGCTTCCTTAACTTTTCTGGCTGTTCTGGAAGAGGGGATCTCCCTGCCTGTCTCTCTGGGAGCATGGCCCACTCCTGCCCGAAGTGGGGCCGTGTAAAGGGTCCCGTGTAACGGGAAGTGCAACAGCGGCCTGTTCTAAAGTGGACAGTTCCTCCAGGCTGGCTGCGGATGGACACCCCAGGATTCTCACCATCCACAAGCCATCAGCTTCTGTGGCATGATTAACTTGCTTCAGGGCCAAGATTGATCTTGCTGAACTCTAGGACCTCTGAGCAAATCCAGAGGCTAAGCCATCCCCGAGCCGTACACAGCAGGACCTAATTCGCTCCGGGCTCCTTTTGGACATTTTTAATGTTTGGGTCTAGCAGGACCGTCTGACCAAAGCCTCTTTGTCACGGAGGGTAGGAACTCGTAGGGACGAATGCGCCTCTTTCCTGCGTTAGAAATCTTCCCTTCTTTGGCCTGGAGGTGCTTGCTTTCTGTGGAGATGAGCCCTAGGCCACACCCCAGAAGGAGGCCAAGATTACATGGCTCCCTAAAAGGTGGGCACGTCTCTAGATTTTTATTGGAGTGGAGCTCCACGGGCAACCATTCTGGTTAATTCCCCTGACCACCTCCCTCCTAAGGGCTTTTCCTGGTCCTCCTTGTAGAGAGCCCATCCCGTACGGTGAGAGAGATGCGCGGCGCGATCGCTCTCCTAACCGGGGCAGTCCGCGCAGAGATGGCAGGAACGGCCGAGACTCCAGGGATGGACGGGACCTTCGGGTGCGAGATATGCGCGGGGCCAGAGATCACCGAGACCCCAGAGACCTGAGGGATCCCCGTGATATGCGAGATCCCCGAGACCCTCTCTACGACCGCTACAGGGAGCCAAGAGAACCTCCGTACAGGTACGCTCAGGGGGTGGACCGCTGGGGGGCTGAGTTGGGCACGCCGTCACGGGCTGGCTTCCCTGCAGGCGAGAAGAGGCCTATGACCGCTACACGCGCCCCGACGAATGCTACCGAAGGCGGGAGGAGCCGTGCTACGACCGCTACCGTGACCACTTGGACAGGCCCCCCTCGAGCACAGAAGGTCAGGGACGGGTCTGGCGGTGGGCGAGGGGTGGGTGGCGAAGGCAAGCCGTGCCCTCATGCCAGTGGCCCTTCCCTGCAGAGCGCATGAAGCGGGAGGAGCGACGTCGGGAGGAGCTCTATCGACAGTTCTTCGAGGACATCAAGAAGCGCATCGATGCCGAGCGGCCCGTGGATTGCTCAGTGATTGTGGTCAACAAGCAGACCAAGTAGGGGCCTGGGTGGCTGGTGGAGCTTGTCTGCCAGCTGGGCAGGGCTGGATGGCTGCATTCAGCTCCTTTCCAGAAATGCTGGCGGTGCCCTTCCTTTGGGGTTGCTGCTGCTGCTCAAGTGGTCCAATGCCCCCAGCAGACCTCCTTCTCTCTCGGCTTCTGCTCGATGCAGGGATTACGCCGAGTCGGTGGGGCGTAAGGTGCGTGACCTTGGCATGATGGTGGATCTGATCTTTCTCAACTCAGAGATGTCTTTGCAGCAAGCCCTGGATGATGTGAGCCAAGGGGGCTCTGCCTTTGCCATCGTCATCACCCCACAGCACCAGGTCCATCACTCCTGCACAGTCAACATCATGTTTGGCACCCCCCAAGGTAGGGCTCCTCCACCAGGCTGTGGGCTGTGCAGAAAAGGTAGGACTGGGCGGGCCATAATGTAGTTTTGCTTAAGGCTTGGTGCAGTCCAGCTGATCATGGCTCGTTTAATGGTTTGATTAAGCAAAGCATAATCAAGGCTGGTGTGGGTCTTCCGGGCTGTGTGGCCGTGTTCTGGAAGTTTTGTTTCCTAACGT